TTCTCCGCATACGAAATAAGATAATAATTTTCATTTAAAATAAACTACTATAAGCAATTTTTTAAATGAAAAATACATATTATACTAAAAGTTTTACAGGTATTTTACATATATTTCTTTTATATTATATGGATGCATAATATTTTGAAATAAGATTTTATCAACAATAATTGTTACTACAATTTTTATACAGTGGAGTACAATCTTACTTAATATAAAAAACTGCAATCACTCAACAATAGTGAGATCGAATATACTGAACGAGTTTAAAAATCTCAAAGAATTTCATTCTATGACATAAATTGACAAATAAATTAGTCCTTATAATATTTTATTGTTAATAAAAACCTTTCTCGTCTTCTGATAGGTATCTTTCATTTCTGGGCATCTTTGAAAATTTGTATATACATATTCCAATTTATGAATGTATGTACAATTGTGAATTATACAGTTTTGCTTCTCTAATGTCTTGCAAATCGAAGAGACACAACGTGACACTGTAGAGATCAGAGAAAGATCAACTTTGTGCTGATTAGCTGACGCCTCACACCTCACAGTTGCAACAGTTCTGTTTATGTTCATCTTTTAAGGGACTAGACTCCCTAGCGAGGGGATAAAAGTAGAGGATACAGTTACCGACAAAATGAGACGAAACGTAAGTTCACATCTTTTTCGAGATGGTATCATTCAAAAAATAATGTTTAATGTAGTGCGCAAATGTCAGACTTCATAAGAATTATGCAGATATTTGATAATATAAGTCTTAGAAAGTAAGGTAAAAATAGATGATGCCAAAGCATGGAATCTAAGCAATTTTATGCGCACTGGTTTGAACATTTTTCTTTCGACACCGATAAATATCGAAAAAGATGTTGATTTAACTTGCGCGCTATTGAACGTGCAGCGAAATACAGTGATACTTCGACTCTTTAAAGAAACACTTACATTTTCACCATTTGACGGCGCCAATCAGAGCAAAGCAATTTCTATTCATATTTTCGCTAACAGAGTGCGCAGCGGCCGGAGAATCTTGCGGAACTTAAGGTTATTACTGTCTAACATTATGTACATAAATAGACAATGCGACGTTAGAGAAGTCGCTGAGCGTGACCTTACAGAGAAAATGTTTATGATTTCCCTGTAGATTTTCCAATTTCAAAATACCCGCCAGCACTGACAGCAGTGGTCATCAACAATCGTATCCTATCAATTGTTTTACGTGTTCTCTGACTAAAGTCATAGCAAAATCATGCTACACATTACAGTCCGCTATTGCATGTATGTAATTGTGGATGACAGATGAATGAATTTAGTTGGTTTACATTATCGTATCTTGGAGGATGCTGTGAGATAGTTAAAGTGAATTGAAATTGTTATTTGGTTATGTTCGTGTAGCAGCAGTCGGGCCACTGCCTCGTTCGTTTTTATAACAAAGAAGATAAATACAATTGATTGATAGATCGAGGCAAAGACAGCTTGAAAAAAAAAACAGTTTGATCGATAGAAAAAATTCCAGCTCAAAGTAGAGATATCGATTCCTCTTATTTTGCAAATAGTTACATTAGAATAGTTGGTTAAATGGTGAAAATGACACCGTTGGATGAGGGGAAGATAAGACAAGGTTTAACAAAGGCATGTACTATATATTTTCTTTACCGTTTGTATTTTTATCTATATTATCATTAAAATACATCTTTTAGTAATTATGATGTAACACGCGTTTTCATTTCTAGTATCAAAATCCAGATATCACCAAAAAGCATGTCACCAAGGTTCTGCAGCTTTATAAAGGCTTACAGTACACAGTTGAGCCATTCGGTATGTATCTGTGTCATTCTAAAATTTAAGTATCATACAGATTTATTTATTTATTATGGCTGATTCTATTTTAGTTTTCAATGATGGATCTCGTAAAGAATTATTTAATTTGCAAGGAACAATACCTGTCTCTTATAAAGGTAGTATCATCTTATACTCGCAAGAAGAATTCAAATTGTTCTGATGTCAAGAATTTATAACATTTTAATTGTAATATATATTTAGGTACTTGCTACAACATCCCCGTATGCATATGGCTTATGGATACACATCCAAACAATGCACCCATGTGCTACGTTAAACCAACAGCTGATATGACTATTAGGGTCAGTGAATTTGTTGATCATAATGGGAAAATTTATTTACCTTATCTTCATGATTGGTTGCCAGTAAGTAATACATATAGCAATAATTATAATCTTTTTTGTTTTATAAAATAAATATTTTTCCAATGCTTACAATACACTTTGTGTTTAGCACTCATCTGATTTGTTGAGCCTAATTCAAATAATGATTGTAACTTTTGGAGAGAAACCACCTGTATATACTAAAGTGAAACAAGAGACTCAGTCAAGTTCTACTCCATATCCTGTACAACGTAAGGCAAATCAACTCCTAAATATTTTTTTCTTACTAAATTATTTTGTACTAAATTATAAACATTTACACAGCTTTCATGCCCATGCCTGGAACGGGTGGTCATGTACCTGGGTCTAATTTTCCATACCTACCAAAGTCTCAGTACGCAGGAGGAAATAACGTATATCCCCCATACATGCCTACCTCATCCTCTGGATTCCCATATCCAGGTTATGGTTCGTATGCTGGAACTGCTTCAAATTATCCATCACAGAGCTACGGTTCTTATCCATACCCTCCAATAACTCAGCCTGTGAGTTACAAATTCTTGTGAACAAGAGAATAGAATTTTTTGTCATGTATTTACTATGTTTTGTAATTCTTAAGTCTGCTGTAGTACCTGAGTCTGTGGGTGGATCAGGTACAATAACAGAGGAACACATCAGAGCATCCTTATTGTCAGCTGTAGAAGATAAACTAAGACGGAGACTAAAGGAACAATTTTCGCAATTGTTGGCCGAGTTAGAAACATTACGTCGAACGCAACTAGAACTCTCTGCCGGATCTAGCCATCTGACCGATTTATTTGACAAGTTGAAGAAAGAACAGGCCGAGCTCGAGAAAAATATAACTATACTTCAAGACAAAGAAGCAGAATTGGAGAAGGAAATCGCTAAACTATCTGATAATCAATCGATAGATGTTGATGAAGCTGTTACTACAATTGCACCGCTTTACAAACAGTAAGTATTGTAGTATAAATTTTGTATCATGTTAATTGCCTAGACGAATGTATTAATTTATAAAAAAACTCTGTTATTTATCTACTTAAAGGATGTTGAACGCGTTCGCAGAAGAGGCTGCTACGGAAGATGCAATATATTATCTGGGCGAGGGTTTGCGTTGCAGTATTTTAGATTTGGATGCGTTTTTAAAGCAAGTCAGACAACTCTCGCGCAGACAATTCATGCTCAGAGCACTCATGCAACGCTGCCGCCAAAAAGCAGGACTGGCTGGTTAAATAATGTTTTTTTTCAATTTATATGACGTTACGCTATTTAATATTTTATTTTATTACAAATGATGCATCAAATTGAGTATATAAATCCCACATCGAATAAAGGGGATATGAATATATTAGACAAGCAAATTAATACTGTTGCGAGTCCAGAATGTCTTTTGTATGGATTGTATACTATGCATCAGCATATTTTTTGTTTCATGTTGTTCATATTTTAGTTGGTAACAAACTATATCGTGTGGATGCAAAACTTTTCTGTACAAAATGAAACAAAAAATATTATATACTTATATATATATATAGATATGTGTAATAAATATTGGTTTAAGTACCGCAAGAAGTGAAAGCACACTCGTTTAATGAAATTACATTTCTGAACATACAACACTAAAAAAATTTGTAAAAAAATCCGTAATTTTTAATTAATTCTTTTTTACATTATAATGGAATTATGTACCTTGAATAGGAATTTTAAACATTAAGAAATATAAATGCTTATATATTGTGTGATAAATGTATAGATTAATCATTGCATTGCACATTTTAGTAAAAATACATTGTTTTTATTCTTATGATGCTGGATTGTAATGGAATTATTTAAATGCTATTACACGTTGCCTTAAAAATTATTTTTTACACTGACGAGATTAACCTGAAACGAAAACAATTGTATAAGCGCATAATTTCGGCGATTTTCAACTAATTTATAATCTATGATCGTTAACAGAAAATTTTTAATCTGTGATATACCTATACGTAAATGCCGACCCAAAGAAGTAAGAATAATACACCGAACCCAGAAAATAATGCTGCCACTAGAGAAATTAATAATTCTTTAATCATATCCCTAGTGAATTTTGTGCTGGTGACTTCATACACAAAGAACCATGCTGTGAAAAATATTCCAATTCCTAATAAAACCACTGCTAGAACTGGGAAAATCGCAGGATTTATGGGAGAGACATATCTTGTCAGAGAATCGACTTCCTCCTGAATCAAACAAAAAATAAAATCAATTTTAGTAAAATCAATTAATTATTGTTCATTAATATGTCAGCTATTATTATCACAAGGTTATATTATATACTATCACAGCATTATGTGCTTACTAACAACATTCTTTTTTAATAATTGAAATTTTAATCCACTTTTTAATATTGACCATTTTAAAAATCTTATGGTATATAATATATTATGATTTCAGAAGAACTAACTTTCTATTTTACATTTTAAATCTTTATTGTATAAAACTGAATCATTAAATTATTAAAAAAAATACATTAAAGCCGAATTACATATTTTATCAAATAATTTATTAAAATTTCATAATATGCACAACAGAACTTTATAAAAGCAGTATTATTTGTCTACATCTTACATATATTATGCAATAATATATGTAAATAACATAATTTCACTGCAATTGTTAAACATGCGGAACTTCAATTAAAAAACACCGGGAGCAAAGTGAAAGAAGTGTCAAAAATAAGATTTTGAATTATTTGATGTAATTAAGCAATATTATCGTAACAATAAAGAAATATTTATATTATTGAATCAAATCATTGAATTGAAATAAACATGGGACTCACCATCTTATTAAAGAAATATTTTGACGTGGCTTGGTTAACAGACACGTACAAGAAGCTCACGTTGACTTAACCACAGAGACGGAAATGTAAACTAGACCAATAAGCATATGTGGTTTCATGTCACGCGATTTAAATTACCGACAATGCTAAAAACCAATGGTTCTCTAGCAAACTTCAGTTCATATTAAAATTACCAAACTGCGCTTCCTAGGGACTTTTTGATTTATGACCGAAGAGATCCATTTTGTCTACCATCTTGAATTTTCCTTTCTTGCTTCTTTCCGTTGATGGTGCACGTGGTGAGTCTGTTTTCAGCACTTAATTTCTTCATATGTTGCTCGTAGTATTAATATAATATCAAATAATATTTGATAATGTGCTGTTTCGATTAACAAGTGAATATAATAACTTCGATATATTCTGTAATATTTTTAATTGCCTCGGTAACCTAGGTGCTAAATCTCGAAGAGATGCATCCATAGACCCGTGTTGATTTCATTATTTCAAAAAAGTGAGAGATATTTGTATTATTTCAGATTATTCAAGATGTCGTCGCATTTAAATTGGATGATCATCCGCAATAACAATGCCTTTCTTCTTAAGAAGCGCAACATCAATAAGCCATTCTCCACGGTTCGTATCACGATTCATACTACTGTGTAACACATTTCCTCGTGGCAATTATTCAGAAAACTGATTCATACTAAAACATTTTTGAATACATTATAACTGTAAATAATATATAAAATTAATGTTAGGTTGATGCGAAAATGGCCAATTTAGACAGTAACTTTGAAATGCTAACTATATTTTTTTATAGCTGAAGAGTTAGTCTTTTCAACTTTTGAATAACAAAGAATAACTTCTTTTATAACTATTTTTATTTGAAGGCTTAACTATATATGTATTTTCAGGAGCCCAATAACTTGACCAACCTTAGCAGCTATCGTTATTCTGGTCTAATTCACAAAAAGAGTGTTGGTATAGTCGATACTCCCGACAAAAAGGGATTCACAATTGTCTACAAGAAGGTACGAGCAGCCAATAAGCCGGCAAAATCTACTGTTAAATGTACAATGAAGGCTGGAGCTCGTCGTTCTTTGTATAAACTAAAGAGGTTGCTCGTAAAAAACAAATACCGTGTAGATTTAACGAAGGTAAACCAATTTATAACATGGAATATATTGAATTCGAAACCTTTCTTTTAATTTTTGTATTTATTATTAAACATATTTTTCAGGTTGCATTGCGTCGTGCTAGTGCTGTGTTGAGATCGCAAAAGCCTTTACCTGCGAAGAAGACCCGTACAACCAAAAAGGCGGATTAATTTGTATACATTAATAAACATATGTTTTAATGTAAACTTATATAAATGACATATGCTACAATGAAGACTTGCTTAAATACTAAATATTTAAAAGAAAGCTTGTGTATAGTGAAATCGTAAGTTGAGCAACTCTTTTTTGCAGCTATGTTAATTGTTTACTTATTTTTACTACTCCATTGTAAAAGTTTATATATAGATAATTACATGTATACAAAAGGTGAGTTGTTTTGAGCACTTGTTCTTGCTTTAATGGTGCTTTTAATGACTTTGGCATTGCTTATTATGATTTCAGACTTGGAGGAGGATACAATTTAAAAGTCTTCTTAATTATAGGTAAATTATATTCATTTATAACATGTTTAAGCATGCCTTACTAGAGGAGCAATTGTATGATGTTACTTGCAACCACCAAGATCTATGAATGCCGTGATTAGTTCACGTATTTGCTATCTGAAGTAGTTTACACATCAAGTTATTTTTTGGTTATTAAAATATAATTATTAACGAAAACAAATTATTTCAGATATTATTAATAAAATGCGACACATGGAATACTCGGGATGAGAATCATACTAAAACGTGAGTATAAATGTTATTATTGAAATTCTTTTGTGCGATTTAATATTTGCATGATGAAATATTTCGACCACCAAGATCTATGAATGCCATGATTAGTATGCGTATTTGCTATCTGAAGTAGTTTACCCATAAAGTTATTTTTTGGTTATTAAAGTATAATTATTAACGAAAACAAATTATTTCAGATATTATCAATAAAATACGACATATAGAATTCTCGAAGGAGAATCATGCTAAAACGTGAGTATAAATGTTATTATTGAAATTCTTTTGTGCGATTTAATATTTGCATGATGAAATATTTCGACCACCAAGATCTATGAATGCTATGATTAGTATGCGTATTTGCTATCTGAAGTCTGTCTCTTATACACATCTAGATGTGTATAAGAGACAGACTTCAGATAGCAAATACGCATACTAATCATGGCATTCATAGATCTTGGTGGTCGAAATATTTCATCATGTACATATTAAATCGCACAAAAGAATTTCAATAATATAACATTTATACCTGTCTCTTATACACATCTAGATGTGTATAAGAGACAGACTTCAGATAGCAAATACGCATACTAATCATGGCATTCATAGATCTTGGTGGTCGAAATATTTCATCATGTACATATTAAATCGCACAAAAGAATTTCAATAATATAACATTTATACCTGTCTCTTATACACATCTAGATGTGTATAAGAGACAGACTTCAGATAGCAAATACGCATACTAATCATGGCATTCATAGATCTTGGTGGTCGAAATATTTCATCATGTACATATTAAATCGCACAAAAGAATTTCAATAATATAACATTTATACCTGTCTCTTATACACATCTAGATGTGTATAAGAGACAGACTTCAGATAGCAAATACGCATACTAATCATGGCATTCATAGATCTTGGTGGTCGAAATATTTCATCATGTACATATTAAATCGCACAAAAGAATTTCAATAATATAACATTTATACCTGTCTCTTATACACATCTAGATGTGTATAAGAGACAGACTTCAGATAGCAAATACGCATACTAATCATGGCATTCATAGATCTTGGTGGTCGAAATATTTCATCATGTACATATTAAATCGCACAAAAGAATTTCAATAATATAACATTTATACCTGTCTCTTATACACATCTAGATGTGTATAAGAGACAGACTTCAGATAGCAAATACGCATACTAATCATGGCATTCATAGATCTTGGTGGTCGAAATATTTCATCATGTACATATTAAATCGCACAAAAGAATTTCAATAATATAACATTTATACCTGTCTCTTATACACATCTAGATGTGTATAAGAGACAGACTTCAGATAGCAAATACGCATACTAATCATGGCATTCATAGATCTTGGTGGTCGAAATATTTCATCATGTACATATTAAATCGCACAAAAGAATTTCAATAATATAACATTTATACCTGTCTCTTATACACATCTAGATGTGTATAAGAGACAGAATTATTTCAGATATTATTAATAAAATGCGACACATGGAATACTCGGAATGAGAATCATGCTAAAACGTGAGTATAAATGTTATTATTGAAATTCTTTTGTGCGATTTAATATTTACATGATGAAATATTTCGACCACCAAGATCTATGAATGCCATGATTAGTATGCGTATTTGCTATCTGAAGTCTGTCTCTTATACACATCTAGATGTGTATAAGAGACAGATCTGAAGTAGTTTACACATAAAGTTATTTTTTAATTATTAAAGTATAATTATTAACGAAAACAAATTATTTCAGATATTATTAATAAAATGCGACACATGGAATACTCGGAATGAGAATCATGCTAAAACGTGAGTATAAATGTTATTATTGAAATTCTTTTGTGCGATTTAATATTTGCATGATGAAATATTTCGACCACCAAGATCTATGAATGCCATGATTAGTATGCGTATTTGCTATCTGAAGTAGTTTACACATAAAGTTATTTTTTAATTATTAAAGTATAATTATTAACGAAAACAAATTATTTCAGATATTATCAATAAAATACGACATATAGAATTCTCGAAGGAGAATCATGCTAAAACGTGAGTATAAATGTTATTATTGAAATTCTTTTGTGCGATTTAATATTTGCATGATGAAATATTTCGACCACCAAGATCTATGAATGCTATGATTAGTATGCGTATTTGCTATCTGAAGTAGTTTACACATAAAGTTATTTTTTGGTTATTAAAGTATAATTATTAACGAAAACAAATTATTTCAGATATTATCAATAAAATACGACATAGAATTCTCGAAGGAGAATCATGCTAAAACGTGAGTATAAATGTTATTATTGAAATTCTTTTGTCCATGATTAGTCACATGATTTGCTAACCGATTCATTAGTTTAAAAATCAGTAGTTGTTTAATTCAAGACGCGCAGTTGATGAAGCCTGTTTTTTAATTATAGGTGGCCGTGAATGCGTCATTTCTGTTTGCAGTTTTCGGAGAAGGTAATTCGTTTTTTATTTATGTTATGAAGAATTGTCGTTACTATTTTGTTACCTGATGATTCATTCGCCAAAATCTATGAATGCTATGATTTTAAATTTGCTACTTCTGAGAACGTTACATCGATTTTATGACTAACGTTAAAGAAGAATGATATTAAAAACTGTGATATATCTTTTGTTTAGGTGATCAGTTACTCTGGAAACTTTCAAATACCACACGTGCCCGTTGCAACAGTTTAGGTTATATAAGGTATGCGTTTTTTAAGAATATAAAATAAAACAATATTTGTATAATATATGAGCATTATTTTCACAGGATGTATGCTGTGTAACTACGCGTATACTTATAATTAATGGCAAATTTGTGCGACAGTGCAAACGTCCTTGGTGCGTTACAGTATGTAGCATTTCTTTGCATTCTTAGCTCATTAAGTTTTTGTCAAATTGCGAAAGTGTTCGTGTAGCCTAGGATACAGCTTCTTATGTGTACTTTACGACATCAGAAAATGAAAGGCATAATGGAGACATGTTTACAAGTGTCTCCATTGTCATCAGTTATCTCAATATTCATGGACCTTGCTCCATGCTTTGTGGTAGAAGTGAAAAATCGTGTGTCCTAACGAGCCGTTAAGGGACTCGTTCTGCACAAACATAGGCCATATTTTTGGGCCTCTTGTTTATGCAATAAATATACACTTTGAAGTAATTGGTACGAGCTTGTATGATTATTTAAATCATAGTTTCCGAACTTTTTCTTTGGTTCACAATTCCTAATCCAAATTTGTTTCCTTTATACTCATATTTAGGATCTTAATAATGAAAATGTGCTAAACGATCACATTGAAAATAAAAGAAAATATTAAAAGCTTTCAGAGCATACATTAGAAAATTGTGATCTAAATAAAAATTATATTGGCTACAATTAATCCTGAAATGGACTATTATATATAGATTTTCATGGCTCTGTATTTTCTACACCTCAATTGTACTTTTCGAGTTCAATTTGGAAATTCGCTGAAGCGTTGACATAACAATCATAGTAATTTAGTTACCAAATAGTATATTTAATTTTAAGTAAGGAAAATGACACTCAGTTGTGTAAATCAATAAATGGCGTAGTGAACATTATTATTCATGTACCGTTCCGTCTATTATTCGACTAAAATTACTGGTCCATCGACAGTGGCTAAGGGGTACGGTGCATAAAGTCCTTTGTAGGCGAAGTGTGAAGACGCGACGGAGCCGAGAACGAGCGCTAATGCTTATTTACACAAGTAATGAGGAGAAGTTCTCGGTCCTGAGTTCCGATCCTACCCGACTGATCAAGATAATTCTTGATCCTCCTGAGATAATAGTACTTCCGAGATAATTCAGTGCCTCTATATATATTCATGCACACCGAGAATGTCCCGAGTCCCGAGCTTCCTCAAACTCCTAGCAAACACGATATCGTGTTCAAGATGACCGAGCTTTCGGTTCGCTTTTGATGTAGACTTATTTATGGGTAATGCATTAGAAACAGATTATTTAATACTCGACGGCCGGTCAGTAGAATGTAGATTTTTATGAAAAATAAAAATTTTCTACATAGATTGGAAGATACAAGAGTTAAGTAAACATGAATTACTTTTATTAATAATTTCAATGAATTGTGAATATATAGTAGTATAACATGATAATAGTATTGTTTTGCATTTGATCTATTTGCTTTCTACATAGTTCAGAAAATCTGTTTACCAGCATAGTTAGCTCTTGTGTTACATTTTTAAATATCTGCAGAAATATATTGGAAGTCATTGATAGTTCTAATAGTTTCGAAGTTAGTTAGATATTTTATTTATCGAAAATTATTACACGTTATGACACAACTGGCGCAGTGTTAATTATGTCGACCTTAGAGTGGATTAAAATACACAAAAATGATGCCAACGACGTTGCTTCTAGGCAGTCACCCATCGTCACTTAAGTTCAGTGGTATGATAGTTAACAAAAATTCGTTACAAAATAATTACCACAGCGTGCCGATTAATTAACAAAAAGACCAGCCCAGTATTTACATTTCGTAGTCGATGATTTATAGTATAACTAGGTTATAGTTTTTCCACAAACATAAATTTTTGTATGTATTTTTTGTCATTCATAGACAAATAGCAATTTAATTTTATTGGAAAAGAAAAAGGGAATGTGTAAACGTTGTATATTGATGTAGGGAGAATCTAGAATAGAGATACGAGGAAAAATCGCTATAGCAATTTCGAAATAGAGCTTGAAATGGGACAAAGGATGCTCGCAAGGACAAATTCCTCGATTTAAACGGCTCCAGTCATCTCGTTTGACCGTTTTGTTCCTAATTATTATTATCTTTTTTCGATACACGCACGCACGCACGCTCTCTCTCTCTCTCTCTCTCTCCCTCTCTCTCCCCCTTTTTTCTCATGGTTGTGTAGCGTGCGGATGAAGCGAATATTCTCGTTCGGACGATGTGACGCACACGACAACGTCACCAAGCCGATTTCACATTGGATCATAAATTTTTACCTGGTGCTATCAAGATTTTATTTTATTCGTTGGGAACACGGTAATTCCGGTTATATCGATTACGTGCTTACCGGGATACATTCATATTCGCGAATTCAAATTAGCTGGCCAACCACTGTAATTACGTTAATTTGTCATTATTTTCTACCCGAGAATCCCACCTTCATTCTCCTGAATAACAATGTTATGCGATGTTATTCAGCAATCTTTGATCGTAGTGCCTCTTATCGGTTGACTTTTAATCTTTTTCGTACATGCTTGCATGTAAAGGCGCAGTACGTAGCATAATAATCATGGAGTCCATAACTTCCGTTTGGTGAATTGTTTCAACATTTCGTACGCTATATTTAATGACACATTCTAATAACGGAAATAGACAACGAAGCAGTGGTGGTAGTGTTAACGATATTTGATTGGTTTTGTTGATATCTTCGTTATTAGGATATTTTCTTTCGTCAAATTTTCGCACGAGTGAATTCGCTGAAATCGAATGTCGCCCTTAATATTTTTATTTATCGTACAGTATTTTTTAACGTCACCCGGCTTCAGATTTCAGTTACCGTGGCCTGCATCCATCAATTTTATCGTCGAAACATGCAGTGTCCCGTGAACAATGGACCGTTCACTGTAAGTTATCTGGCGAACAATGAACCTTGATGATAATTTTTGTTCATGAAGATACAAAGAACTCCACCGTCCATTGGAAATAACCAGTTGACACGGACGTTCTACCGTGATAACTGACATTACTTTCCTTTTAACATTCGAACTACATATTGAGATCTAAAACTGTCCGAACAATATTGCTTTGTAAAGGCATATTGAATCATGCTCCTGGAAAGTGTCTTCATAATTCCTATTGTCATTTTATTGCTCTCTCCTCTCTCTCTCTCTCTCTCTCTCTCTCTCTCTCTCTCTTTCTCTCTTATGGTAGATTTAGTTAACTCTATTACGCTGCCTTGCTTTCTGGTTGCTTATGCTGTACTTTGCTTACATGTTCATTTAGATAGGCCCCATAGGCAGAATCCAAGATTATATGAATTATATATGAAAGACATATAAACAAATTGAATATATTACGATATTTGTGCTCTTCGGTCTTATGAAGAAAGTTATAAGGTCTGCAGAAAGTTGTAAGGTCCTACAAGGATTGTAGGGGCTCATGAAAAAAATATTAGGATCCATAAATCTGTCGGATTACTTGTGTACAAAAATTGTACTATCTATGGGGGGAAAAATATAGAACGTACAAAACAATTGCAGGACCTGGACAAAAATTGTAGAACATAACGCAAGTGTATTGCATACGAAAGTATTGAAAGCGAAGCTTTTAAAAGCATGCAGGATCCGCGAGAGAATTGTTAAGTTGTCAGAAAAAAATGATTTTACCAAAGTGTACCTAAAAGTGGCCCACTCAAAGAGTTCACCGGATCTCGGGAAGCGGAGTTTGCGTTCCTAATAATTTTTCACAAAAGATCAGCAAACTACCAGGAAGAATTTTAATTCTATCGGGGCACGGCGGCCGCATTTTTAGTACTTATTCAATATCGGCTTAATATTAGATCACCGCATTAGCATTTTATTGACGTTGGTCACGAACAGGGAGGAGCCTGTGGTCGAGGCCGGACCCGGGATTCCCGACAGAAAACAGTTTTCCTCGTCGAACAAGGCATGTTTTATTAAAAAATCCTGCCCCGCCTACCTTTGCTCCCGCGGTTAATCGAGTGGATTTCTTGTTCGGTGATCGTCCAACATGCCCCTCTCTCGAGATGAATAATCCAGGAACGAGGATTTAAAGAGCGAAGGGCGTTTCGAATTTGTTAATGCGCCGCACACTTTCGTGGTAGACAAACTTTCTGCATAAAATATATTCCAGGCCTTTGTAAAGAATATCTTGAACGGGAACGATCGATGTGCGACAGTAAAAATTCATACCTCGCAGGTTCTGCATGTGAAAAGAGCGTTAGAGCAATGTAGAAATCTTTTGGTGATCGGTTGAATAGCAAAGCATCGTTTGAACGGCGAACTTTTACATAGACGAATTAAGTCAAAGTTTGAGAGATTCGTTGTTTTACAATAATTCCGATTCATTTCGTAAAACAAAAATCGTACAATATTTTGTCTTCTTGATTTGAAGATGCAATACACGCTGGTCACTTAGTGCCCGGTTGTTCTGGCGTGATAAAGTTTTCGTATAAAGCAGCAAAGCACATCGTTTAATTTGTCGTATTTAGGAAAAATTTGGTCTACCATGATTTTTATACGATTTATAATGTACATACATTAAAGGTACAAGTAATCCAATCGGATAATTTCTCTAATACGAATATTATATCAAACCATAAAATTAAAGTAAAAAGTAGATATTTTTCTGACCATACTTCCTCATTTTAGTCAGTACACAGGGTGTCCCAAAAATGTCTCGCAATCCGAAAGTGGCGGGTTCCTCGGGTCATTTGAAGCAACTTCGTCCTTTAGAAAAATTTTCTCCGAGACACCGTTAATGAGTTATTAATGAAAAACAGTGACCAATAAGAACCGAGTATGGCTGACGCGAGGCGACCGAGCCAACAGCGCCAGCGGTCGAGGCGGTCGAATCCCAGCTCAGCTGGCGCGAGGCGACCGAGCCAATGAGCGGAACTGGGCTTCGTGCGCTGGTTGGTCACTGTTTTTCGTTAATAACTCGTTAACGGTGCCTCGGAGAAAATTTTTCTAAAGGAAGAAGTTGCTTCAAATGATCCGAGGAACCCGCCAGTTCCGGATTGCGAGACATTTTTGGGACACCCTGTATACATAAAGGCATAATATAAATGTTAATATATCTTTACTAGCAACAAACGTTTATTAAATAATATATAGTAAGAAAATAACAACAACTGAACAATAAACATTCGATACATTCTTCAATGCACATATAATGTACAATATACATTATGCACGTTGCGACGATTATTATATACGATTTTCATACGTAGGAACTGTTGAGAACAGAGAAAAGCTGAGAATCTCATTTAATTTCTCTACACATTTTCCTGCACCCCGTTCGATTTTCTCTGAACTGTAAGTCCTCCGCTGATCGAATCTTTCTAACAGTATGCACAATGATTTCTGGAAGTTGCAAACGCTTTGTTCGGCCGCCGCGCGTTCCCGACATCGAGAGGAGATTGCATAGTCGAAAGAAGACTATTGTAAAAATAATGTTCTCGGAAGTTGAAAGAAACTTCTCGTGGAACGGTAGCCGCGCGGAAATTGGCTACTTATTTTCCAGCGACTTAACAGAGCCCGTCGTTCGATTTTTCGCTAATGTCTCGAGTCGATTCGTCGGGTACCGTCACAGCGTTAGGTTACTCATCCGAGAGGTATGTTTTATTAGGTCATCTTAAATGCCCGATTGCACGATTTCTATTATTCGGTAATAGAGAAATTCGGCTGCGCGATCACGTAGCGTCCGAAAGAGCCTCGAGCGTATATCGTTTGTTCTTCCAGTACCCATCATCGTTCTCCCTTGGCCGTTACCTTTTTTCCTCTTGGTTTCCTCTTGGTTCCCGTTGGTCGCCTACCTCCTGAGGAGAGTTTAACGAGACACCACT